GAGGCTAGGGCTGGGAATTTACATTTTCCCATAGATGTAAATGTTTAAATACATCTTACACTGTTGGCATGTTGTTGGTTTACAAATTTAAAATTAAATGGGACGGGGATACGTGGGTGGCTCAGTCGGTTGAGCGTCTGACTCTTGCTTTTGGCTCAGGTCATGATCTTGGGGTCGTGGGATGGAACCCCACGTCAGGCTCTGCACTGGGCATGGAGCCTGCTTAAGATTCTCTCTCCTTCAGCCCCTCCCCCTGCTTGCTCACATGTGTGTGCTCTCTCTCTCTCTCAGAATAAAAATAAAATTAAATTAATTGGGTCCAATAGACCGTGTTTCTGGGCAGATTAAGAGCCCAGAGAAGCAGAGCCATGCCTTCCCTGTGGTAAGGGCTTCCCTGAAGGAGTTTAAAAGCAGTCTTACCAAGATAGCCCAGAAATGTTCTTCCTACAGGAAAAATAAATTCAGAGTATATTTTTAACTTTGGTCTCATAGAAGCCCAGAGTTAAATTTAGCAAGGGTTCAACTTACAAGGGATCAGGGATAAGTTTTTGGTGAAACCTATGCAATCTTGCTTTGAATTGCATTTATTTTTTTTTAATATTATAAAAAGGTAGTTACTGTTTAGGGTTTGACTTTATAGTTGTCTTACTAATGAGTTCTATTTTTGTAGCAAAATACATAAAATGAGTTAATGAAGAAGGAATGTGAAGGGATCCTGGGCTGCGTCCAGCTGTGACCCCTGCTGGGCTTCTGTGGTGTCCAGGTGTGTCTCATGAGCGTGTGGGGTGGACCCAACGGTGTGTATTTAGGGGGAGGACCAGACGCTCTCCTGGAGAGGGGCTCAGCATAAGCCCAAATATGGTTAAGCAAAGAAGAGTGGCTCCGTTTAAAAACTGTCATCAGAAGGGAGCGAGAGGCCAGAAGCCATATGGTGGCTCTTACCAGAAACTGCACGGGGTTCCTAGCCTCCCCTTCCCCTCTCCCGAGACTCCTGCCTCGAACCTGAGGGATTCTGGGGCTGCACATCAACACTGAAAGATCTGTTTCGCCAGACTCCACCTAAGACAACAGGGTGTTAGGTCCCCCTGCCTTGTCGCCCCTTCTGGGAGAATTTCGCAGAGGAGCCTTTAGGGCGCACCAGGGACCATGGCGTGCTTTGGGCACCACGAGGGTTCCTCTGTGGCGGCAGCAGGCAGACAGGTGCGTGGCCATACCCCACAGAAGCCCTGGGGCTGCAGGAGTGCCTGCAAGGAAGCACCAGGGCTCCTCAGAGCGCAGCCAGCCGAGGACGCGGCCCACCTGCTGGCTTGGCGGGGAGGAGGGGGGGTTGCGCGAGGGCAGCACCACGCACATGGCCCCCGTGAGCACTCACCGCAGCGGGGGCCCTGCCAGGGCGCGCAGGCACAAAGGGGCAGACTCCCAAGGGCCTGACTCCGTTAACCAGAAAGTGCCACCGAACCAGAACCTCCTATCCCCTGGCATTCTGCCAGGGACGCTCTGGGGGCACGTCCCCCCTCGCACGTGTGCGGTAGGGGAGGCGAGCGATGCAGCCCGCGAACCCCTTCCGTGCGCGCTCTGTTCCCCTGTCCCGAGGTCAAACGTGAGAGATGCGTGACACAAGTCTCCACTGGTGAAATAAATTAGCTTGCGCCCATCTGATGGAATGTCACGCACTGAATAAACACAGTGAGATCGAGCTACCTTTAGTGACACAGAAATACGTTGTAATATAGAGCGGAGTAAATAAAAGCGGATTACAGATTGTGGGGGCGATTCCTCAACTGTATGCATTTGTCAACAACACTCGCGAAGCTGTTTATCACAAGAAGTTAATTGCACCGTGCGTAAATTACACCTCAGAAAGAGCAGACCATAAAATTATATTTGCGGAAGGACCCACTTTGTGTGTGCATGTGTGTATGTGTACAGGCAGGGGCAGGGCCCTGCACCCAGGGTTAACGTGGGCTACCTCTATTATAATTACAGGTGACTTGCACTTATTGTGTCCTCTTTTTGCTTAATTGTCTTTTCAAATTTTTCTCAGATGAATAGGGATTGCTTTACTATTTTAAACTATGACCAGGGAAGCACAAAAGAATATTCATGTTCAGGGAACAGCTAACCCGGAGTAATGAGGGGAAGGGTGGTTGTGCTTCGCCCTGTGTATCATGGGAGTTCCAACAGGAGGCTGGTTATAGGAGGAACCCGCAGTAGACGCTCAGTAAATGTTTGTCACATGAGTGAGTGATTAGAGTGGGTCATTTTATCACAAGTCTCTAGTTTAATAATAACCAGTGCACACTCATAAATATTTTCATCTCCATTCGAGTGACAGCCAACTAATTGCTTTCAAACCAAACAGTTACTGTAGGCACAAAGCGGAGCTCTTTCCTTTTAACTTTCCTCTTCTTATCCTCACCCCATCTCCTCTTTTATTAATTGAGACTGGGAAATAAATAACCACAAATGTCTTGGTTTCACACAATTGTTAGGAAGACAGCTTAGGTGTACCAAGTAGAAAGGCAGAAAACAAAACAGGAAAACCAGTATTTTTCCACAGACCTGGTGGCGGCCTCCTTTGTTGAGAAATAGCCAGAAAAACCACCACAAGACCAGTCTTCTGTCTTCGGAAGACACTGCTTGCTTAGTGTGTGAGATAGGAACAGCCCCTTCCTGGAAACCCGCTGGCTTGATAGTTAGCCTGGGGGAGGGGGGGGGCGGGGGGGGGAAGGAGCCGAGGAGGTGGGTATGGGTGTAAGCGTGTGTGTGTGTGTGTGTATGTGTGTGTGTGATGGGGGAGGGTGGATATGGTGTGTGTGGTGTGATGTGATGTGTGTGGTGTTGGGGGTGTGGTGTTGGGGGTATGTGTATATGTGGTGGGGGTGGGGGTGGTGTGTTTCTGTTAGGTACCACATGGATAGGATCAAGATTACATGTTTGGATACATAGAATTTGGGGTCCAGCTCAGAAAGCTCATGAACATATTAAAATACTGGGGGTATTTAATGTAACAACTAAACCAGTTCTAGTTTTTTCTAACAGCTGCTAAAACCTTACACACAGTTTAGATCCAGAAAGGTCTTTAAACCATATACTTTAGCTCACTCATTTTGCAAGTGAGAGAATTGCAGCCCAGAGAGTAGAAGGGGGCTGCCCAACATCACACAGGGACCTGGCGACACTGCCTGTTGGAATGTTGAACAGGACGAGGCCTTTGGAGACAATGTCCATGTGCTTCTGAATAAAGTTGGGGACATCCCTGAGCACCTGCTCTGAACAGTGCATTCCTCCCGAAAGGCCTTCAGCAATCACATTTCTCTTTGAGCTTTCCCTTTGCAGATGTAGCCAAGTTAGGGCCCCCAGGCCTGGCCAGGCTCCATTTGCTAAATAAGGCATTACTTGCAGAGAAAGAGTCCTCATCAAAGACATGTTAGTGACAAGCCAGAGGATTTTTTTTTTTAAGATTTTATTTATTTATTTGAGAGAGAGAGAATGAGAGAGAGAGAGAGCACAAGAGGGGGGAGGGTCAGAGGGAGAAGCAGACTCCCTGCTGAGCAAGGAGCCCGATGTGGGACTCGGTCCCGGGACTCCAGGACCATGAAGGCAGTCGCTTAACCAACTGAGCCACCCAGGCGCCCAAGCCAGAGGATTTGACGACCAAGAATGGATCCTGCTAACACCATGAGTAAAGGGAAACCTGCTGTAAACCCAAGCAACTGGAGAGTAGACGTTAAGTTGGGAAAGCCACAAACAGGCCTTTCGTGCATTAAGCCAATGATTCCTCACCCTGGAACCCCAGCCACACTCTTTGTGCTTACAGCCTCCTTCAACCGGTGACTTTGCAGCCTCGTCTCCCTTGGTTTACCACCGTGCCATTCTCTTCCACACCTCTGTGCCTTTGCACAGCCTGGGTCCTCCACCAGGTGCACTGCTTCCCACATCATCCATCTGGGTGAACTCTCCCTTGAAAACTCAGCTCAGCCGTCACCTTCTTTGGGGAGGACCTGTCACTTCCCCCCTACCCAGCAGAGTTGGCACCTCCTTCCCTCCAGCCTCCCACAGACCCCCCTGTGGGTTTGGTGATCTCATTTTGCCTGTCTGGAGTTCCTTAAAGGAAGGACTCATCCTGTTCATCTCCAAAACCTAAGCCTTGGGCCTGCAGTAGATGTTGACTGTCCACAGATAAAAGGCACATTTGTTGTCTGTTACTAAAGAAAAAATCACCTCAAATTTAGAAGCGCAAAATAATACAGAATCACAGTTTCTGTGGGGGCAGAGTGCTGGCACGGTTTAACTAGGGCTTCTACTTAAGGTCTCACAAGACGAAAATCCAGGTGTGTCATCCAGGCCACATCCTCACCCAGAGACTCAACTGGGGAAGAATTGCTTTCAAATTCACTTAGGTTGTTGGTAGAATTCATTTCCTTGTGGTTGTAGGACTGAGGACCCAGCTTCTTTTTAAGATTTTATTTATTTATTTGACAGAGAGAGAGCACAGGTAGGCAGAGCGGCAGGCAGAGGGAGAGGGAGAAGCAGACTCCCCACTGAGCAAGGAGCCCGATGTGGGGCTCGATCCCAGGACTCTGGGATCATGACCTGAGCCGAAGGCAGACGCTTAACGACTGAGCCACCCAGGCGCCCCAGGACCCAGCTTCTTGCTGGATGTCAGCCCCTTGCCATGCAGGCTTCCCGACAAGCCTTCTTCCTTCATCAGTCCCACAGTCTCCCAAGCAAGACTGCCAGCAAAGCAGAGTCTTAGATAATGTTACATAGTCATTGAAGGGACATCCTCTTACTCTCGCCATATTTCATTGATTAGAACCAAATGATACATCCCACCCACAGCAAGGGAAGAGGATTCTACAAAGACACAAATCGAGGAGTCGTGGGGGGCCATCCTAGGTCTGCCCACCACACAGAGAATACAGTAAATCCGGCTGCTAAATTCTTTACTTTGTTACAATTTCCCTTTTATTCCTCCTCTGGGTTCTCTCTTGCAGGTCGCTTCACTGCTCTTGGCAGATCACTTCTGGAAGAAGGTGCAACTCCAGTGGCCCCAGGTCCTGGGAAAGGAGAATCCATTTAACTCTCAGATTGAACAGGTGTTTGGAGACCAAGGGGGCCACTGAGTGCCTCCAGGACACGCACTCCTGGAAAGCTCAGGGAGGCAAGAACTTGGGTAAATTCATTCCACAAATGGTTATGGGGCTGCCATTTTGCAGGCCCATAGGACCCTCTTTAGCAGCAACTTTGCAAAGTGCACTTCTCTCATTCTGGAGTCTATCTGAATGACAGCGTGATTCTGAGTGTTTCAGGGAGCAGTTCCCTCCATTTGTCCCTAAAACCACCTTTAATAAAGTGTTGTGGATGCCATTCCAAGCAGAGAGAGTATCTGTGCCCTTTCATAGCTAATTGTTCTAAAAGCAAACTCAAAGTCCACCGATGCTCGGCACCTTAGCCAGGGTCTTGGTGCGCCAGGACTGATCCTCAGTCTGTTGCTGCTTCTCTAAGACGGCCAGCAAGCTGGGGCTGCCCCTGGGAAGGCTGTCGGCTGGCTGCCAAGGATTCTCACGAGAGAACACAAAACTAGGAACACAAAATTAGGTACAAACTTGAATGTTTATTTAGAACGAGAAAAGAAATCACAACAAATGACAAATTTTTTAAAGTTGACAAATAGCATAAGCCCCACAAAACTAGGAACACAAAATTAGGTACAAACTTGAATGTTTATTTAGAACGAGAAAAGAAATCACAACAAATGACAAATTTTTTAAAGTTGACAAATAGCATAAGCCCCACAAAACTAGGAACACAAAATTAGGTACAAACTTGAATGTTTATTTAGAACGAGAAAAGAAATCACAACAAATGACAAATTTTTTAAAGTTGACAAATAGCATAAGCCCCACAAAACCCCAATGACTGAAGAAAACATGACAATCTGTCTTTCTTTAAAAGGTTTTCTTAACGTTCTTTGGCTGCATAATCTCATCATCTTTTCCTATAACAATGATTTGGTGATATCATGGTCTACAGAAAGGACAGAAAAGTAAAATGTGTTGCTTTTTGTTGATAATTTAGAAGAGTTTCTTTCAGCTGCATAACTCGTTGGTAAAGTCATGTGAATTTTTAGAATTGTTGTCAAATTGGGAGCACCTCTATCAAATCTCTTTCGAGTGAGAGTTACTAGAGATGCGCTCCCTATTTGGAGTATTGTTAATGTTTTGTGTGCCTATAAGCCCGGGAGTTCTGGTAAATTCTATTGCACACCATTCTCGTTGGTGTGTCACCTCCCTTGCCCCTCTCTGAGGCAGCCTCGGATTTTGGGGGGTCAGTGGGTGTACGCCCAGACCCACATCGCACTGCCAGCACCCCACCTTACATGGGCACGTCTTCCTACAGTCTGCCCTCAGGAGCTTGCTTGACACAGCCCAGAGGTATGGAGCAGTTCCACCCCAGGGGTCCCAGGAGCCATTGAATAAATGCACCAGCCTCTTCCTTTCGTGGTCAGTTTTGGGGAGGCATTCAGTGTGCTTCTCAGGGGCAGAATCAGCCCCTTTGTTCATGGCAACAATACCTCCCATGGTGCTTCCTTCTACTCTGTGTCACTCTCCTTGCCCTCTCATTCCTGCTCTCTGGGATGCTTCCCAAATAAACCACCTGCACCTAAGTCTTTGTCTCAATAAAGACAAAATTAAAATGATGGTGTGTGCATAATTGTGTAGGCTTTATTATTGAACATATTCCTGATACGAAGATACTTCTGTTTCAACTAGGAACCAATGCAAACCAAATCTCCCACTCATGTACACCGTCCATTGCCATGGACCAGCTTCCGGCTTTAGGCATTTTATACCTTGTTTCTCCTCTGTGATACACGGCTTCGCACGCTGGGAGCTGTAGGATACTTTCATACTGAGCTCTGCCCATTGGCCCTGCACCCTTGTAACCATGCTGATGAACAGTAGGAGCATACCTGGAAGTCACGCAGCTGTGCACAGAAAGGACTGCAAACTACATAAATATTTCCACATAATCCCACCCTAAATGCCCCCAAATTCTCATGGCTAGCCCACAGCTACCAGATAGAAAAGAAAGTACTCAGAGAAAAAGCAATCGTGTTTAAAATATCCAACTTTTGCAAATTTTAGAAAACATGTGACCATGTGAACGCATTGCTTGGGCCCCTTCCAAGGCTTTGGAAGGGACCCTAAAGTTAATCTGTTTTAGACTTACGGTCAATCCACCTCGGCTGACAAAATTAATATGCCAGATTGTGTGTGAGTTCCGTTTTAGGGACCAAAACACTTAAAATGTTGTCGACCCATTAATTTCTGTAACCTGGAAAGAACCCTTGCTTCAGCATGACCAGGACGTGGCCCAGGGGCGGTGGCTCAGCAGGGGACCAACATGCCATCAGGAGGCTGCTTGTTTCCAGCAGGAAATACAAATGAGGAGAACGAATTGGAGAATACGAGGTGTGGAGGTGTGGGACTATGGAAATCTGGTATGTCTGACTCCTCCTGAGGGATGTGTCCACTAACAGGGCCTTGGTAAGTACATTACTGGTTTTGGCGTTCCAATATGTCATGTTATGTTTAAGCACCAAAATACCAATACTTGTCATAGTGTTGTTTTATTGGTTTTTTTTTTATTTTGAATCTGAAATCGTAATCATTTAGTCTCAAGACATACCCAGAGAACACTGCACTAAAATTTTGTATTCCCTTAGAAAGAATTCTATTTATTTAATCCTCACTCTGTTTAAGATGCTTTCAAGTTACTTTATTGCCAGACTACTTGTGAAGCTGATAATCTCGTATTCCTTTTGCTGTTGTTGAGGGGATAGAGAATTCATTTTAGGCCTAGTCATTTTCCAGAAAGCCCTGAGGGACTAGAGTTGTTTCAAAAGTGTGGAGGGTATAGAGAGATTCAGAAAGTACAGGGAAGAGTTTCGCAGACTGAATCATCCTGAGACCTCCATTCTCCCCCCCTGCCAGTAGTCATCTCTGTCCCGGCCACTTTTCCCTGTTCAGATTATCTTAGGGATGAAAGCCCCCACTTTGGGGAATAGTTTCACCAGTATCATATTTCCCCTCCCCTACTTGAACAAGTTCAGGTTGGGAGGCCGGCAGGCCCTCATCCTGAGCCCTGACCTCACTCCTGGGGCATGACATCCCCAAATCGAAGGGTGGGAGAGGATGGTGCTCCCATCTCATTTTTTTTAATAAAACACCAATACTGCGCAAAGTAAGTACTAAATACCAGTATTGTCTCCTCAAGAACTGGAGTCCAAGGCCAGGCCCTCACCCTGGGGTCAGGAGCCGCTGGGTGAGGCTAGTCACCTTTTGCCTCCATCTTTACACTCCACACCAATCCAGACACATTCCTTCTTTGAGATTAAACCACATCTTTCTCTCTGGCTTAAGGATGTTCTGTCCCTATAAGGTGCTTTGTGTACTTCTCCTAACGTCCACGTGTCCAGAATTGACAAGATAGCTGATGGGGACAGCTTTTATCTTATATTTCTGCACTGGTGCCTCTTGAGATCCTGTCTTCAGCCTCCATGTTTTCAGAATCATAGCATGTGAGTGCTAGCCTCTGAGAGGCACGTGAAGGACTTTTCTAGGGGGACTCACATCCCTCTCCATCTCCTTCCCCCATTCCTGCAGTGGCCTCCTGATGAGATGCACCAGAAGAGATGCTCCAGGAGATAAGAACCTGGCCAGTCATGTTCCCTCCTGTATCCATAGCCTTACAAGAATGCCTGGCCAACAAGAGATGCTCAGTAAATAGTACTGAGTGGTAAGTGAATGAATGAATGCATGAATGAATGAGACACTAGTGTTGCCTTCCAAGTCACACTTCATTATTTCTTGCTATTTAAAAACCAAAAAATGAGCCTCTTTTTTGACACATTTAATTTAGCCCTATTGGAGCATACTTGTGAAATGAGAGGGTAAAAAGAAAAGCAATTAATGAGAAGATGCCTTCCTCCCAGATAACCCTTGGTTGGGAGACTTGGGCTTCTCTGTAATCTTCTTCTAAACACCCAACACTCTATTGTCATTGGTTTCTCCTATTTTCAGATTAAAGACCTGTCTAGCCCTTTGCTATTGAAATAGAGCTCCTCATTTTCCATATGAACTATTATTAAGAATTTCTATTCTTCCCACCACCACTCCTGGGCATTTTTCATCTGGGATAGAGCCTTTTGGGCTCAGACCTTGCTGAAAAAATATTTCCAGGGCCTGCAGCCAAAGGAGATCAGCTAAAAATCTTTATATGCATCTTGTATTGATACACAACAGAGCAGGACCTAAGCCCCAGGAAATTGCACTGCTTCCCCACCCCACTTTCTCACCAAGTTAACCCCACTAGAAAAGGGATTCTTAACTAAAGCCCATGGGGACCTTACTCCCCCAGGATTAAGAATGCCTATGAACTTGAATGTGGAAAAAATTGTATTCAAGACCCTCTAAAACAGCATTTCCTTTTATTATGAATGTAGGCAACAGAACAGCTGTATTTTTGTCACAAATATTTACATATCACATTACATTTGCTGCAGATACAGTTAATTCAATTCTCATTATTCATAGGAGTTATGTTCCATTAAGTCATCTTGAACACTGAATTAGCAAATACTGAACCACTGCTCCTAGGGGACATACAGGGTTATGTTCCTGCAAGCCTCTGGTCATAACACTATCATTCAAGCAATCAATACATGACCTTGTTTCATGTGTGGTATTTGTTTAAAGACACCTATTTAATTTATAGTTGATTAATTAACTTTGAATTCATAGCCAACAGCACTTTAACTACTGTCCGAATGAAGATTATCTACACATCTATTTTCTCTATAAGGCACATCATAGCCTTCTTGCACTTAGGAACCCCAGATGATTCTTCAGCACTGCACTTGCATTTTAAATAATGAAATCACCAACAAAAAGCATAAAACTGCCCAAAACATGACAATAAATATACCATGAAAAGGATACTTATTTACAGTGTAAAAGCTGAAATAAGAAGACAGAGCACTGCCTTATTCAACCTCAGCTGGGAACCTGCAAGTCAGGGGCCTGAAATTTTCCCTATTCAAGTTACTGCAGAAGTGCCATGGGTACTTATTTGGGGGTTACAAATAAATTTTAGCAGGTAGGCAAATTCACAAATACAGAATCCTGAATAATGGGGATTGACCATTTGTTTTAAAGATTTTATTTATTTATTTGAGAGAGAGAGAGAGAGTGCTCAAGTAGGGGGAGGGGCAGGAGAGAGGGAGAAGCAGACTCCCCACTGATCAGGGACCCCGATGCGGGACTCGATCCCAGGATCCTGGGATCATGACCTGAGCAGAAGGCAGCTGCTTAACTGACTGAGCCACCCAGCTGCCCTGAGGATTGACCATTTTTTTTTATTCTTATGTTAATCCCCATACATTACATCATTAGTTTTAGATGTAGTGTTCCATGATTCATTGTTTGTGCATAACACCCAGTGCTCCATGCAGAACATGCCCTCCTCAATACCCATCACCAGGCTAACCCATCCCCCCACCCTCTCCCCTCTAGAACCCTCAGTTTGTTTTTCAGAGTCCATCGTCTCTCATGGTTCGTCTCCCCCTCCGATTTCCCCTGCTTCATTCTTCCCCTCCTGCTACCTTCTTCTCCTTCTTTTTTTTTCTTTTTCTTAAGACCATTTCTTTAAATATCATTTTGGCCATAAATATTTTGAAACAACTATAGTTATTAGGCCCATTATAAAAGAAGCACACACACACACACACAAAAATAAATAAAGAAGCACATGTGTTAACATATGCCCATTTTTGATATTTCGAAGTATTTTTAGTAGCATGATATTTGGTTTCCTTTGTAATCCCATGTGTTTTATTTTTTGGATTTAAAAATGTTATTCTGAGGGGCACCTGGGTGGCTCAGTCAGTTAAGCGGCTGCCTTCAGCTCAGGTCATGATCCTGGGGTCCTGGGATCGAGCCCCACATTGGGCTCCCTGCTCAGCGGAGAGCCTGCTTCTCCCTCTCCCTCTGCCTGCCACTCTGCCTACTTGTGCTCTCTCTCTCTCTCAAATAAATAAATAAAATCTTTAAAAAAAAATGTTATTCTGAAAAAGGATTCCCCAGGCTTCCCCAACCTGCCAAAGGGATTCATGACACAAAAGGTTGTATGCTTTGGGGTGTGGTGCTTTGCAAAAGAAAAAAAAAAAATCTGGAAACACAGCATAATTTCTCTGCTTCCTGAAAAGTCACAGGGTGGAAGTTCTACAGTGAAGAAGTCTGTTCAGCTCCTCATTTACCCCACAATTTTGACCTAAAGCCTTTTCCCTGTACGATAGCTATTAACACCCTGTAGATACTGTGCTCTCTGGAACCACGTTGGGACATCCTGCCTAGAGGAATTAGCGTCTGTCCAACGTACTCACTGGCGTGTAAGAGAGCAATTGCCCAGGTATATCTAGACTCGAATCCCTACTCCTCCGCTGTCTCTGTGAGGCGGAATGTCTTTGGAATCCTTCTCATTGCAACAACAGCTTTCCTGGTCGAACTTAAAATGACAAAAGCAGCACCTCTCCCGGGCCCTGAGACCCAGGGCACATTCCCTGTGCTTTATGGATTTCCTGATGAATGGATGCATCAATATACTATTAACATGTCAGTTTCTCATTAAATCTGAGTACGGAATCTGTGTTTGCCCGGCAGGATGAACTCCTTTA